CCATTTCCAGAATGTCATTTTATTGAAAAATGTGTTGACAGTTGAGTACTGGCGAACCATTTTGCAATAAAGGATCATTATTTGTTTCACTTTTACGAAGAAAAGCAGCGCTGGGACCCCGTTGGAATCAGAATGTCAATCACAATTTATCTTAATCACAACTAACAATGTAAATTCTGCTTTGGGTCAACTGATGGCAAATGAGACACATTTGAGAGCTGCTTTCTTGCTGTTCAGAAGTCGGAGACATACTTTTGGCCTTGGGCTGGAAACGTCTGTTTTCTGCTAGCACGAAATTTTAACGTTAAAACCAGCGACAAATGAAGTTTTCCTGTTTGACTCAGTAATAGAATATAAGGTTGCTCGGTATTTCTCTGCCTTGCGTTTCTCCATAGATATTGTCCTAGGGAACACCTTTTTAAACTAAGTTACAGTGAAATGAAGCTGGAGACATATAAGATTTCAATTAGATATGTTCTGTTTGCTGAGAGTGCACAAGAAGTACCAGCTGGTGAAGCTCGATACGCCCAAATGCAGACTACTTCCTCAATGTTGACAGAACTATGTAGCAGTAATCATCATTGGTGGTAGTTTGTTAGATGCAATTCCAGAAATTCGCATAATACATACACCCCATGTTTCAGTTCACTTCAGTTCAGTATGCACAAGCCCAAATGTGGCTCCCAGCCGACTGAGCCTCCGGATTGTTGTGTTGTTCGCTGTTGTGTTTGTAGCTTCCAATCCTGTGTACAGTGTACTTTGGCTGTTGAAAAGCCAATTTTTTTATAACACACTTGTGTGATGGACAGCAGACGGATCTCATGGTCACGAAAACCTGCTGTTTAGTGATGGGAACCTCGGTAGTTCAAGCGACGAACCACATAAGGCCCTGATAGGTCACACGTAGTATTGAACCGCCAGCGATCGACCGTGGCGTTCCTTTTATGATGAGTCCAGTTCTCGGACGATTCTGAAAATAGATATAAGTGATCTAGGCTTGGACAAAGCTGCTATGGGTTAGCGGTTAGTGTCAAGGGCCATGAGCCTGACCACTGAAACCTGGCAGAATTAACAGCGTACACTAGTGACCGACACTTGTATTTGCAGGTGACTTTAACGAGCAGGTTGGAAAACTGTGCGCATCAGAAGCTTGCCTAGGTTGTAGTTGTGCTCTGCCCTGCCAACGAACGGATATGGCGATTGACTTCTCCAGCTCTGCTCAAACCATTATCTGTCAAGCCAAGTCAAGAGTGCACTTTACTCACCCAATGTGGACAGAATTTTCAGTGAAAAGAATGTTATCGCTTTTGCTATTATTATTGAGTACCAACTTCCGAAACAGCTCTCAACGGACAGCAACGTGGCGCTCCAGTTCAACTGGTACGCTAACTCAAATCGACCACAGCAGTAAGCTACCATTGGCGTGGCTCAGTGCAAAATTTCAGGTCCTATCGGACCACTTGCGTTGAATCTGGACACGCATTAGTTTTGATGCAGTTCACTGTCCAAATCACTAACGGTGACAAAACCGGCAAAACCAACGTATTTGGTAACGATTTGATGGATAATCCGTTGTTCCGTCGAATTCAGATTAGTCGGCTTCGCTGGTTAGGACACGTATTGCGCATGCCCAGATGTCGTCTACCGTACAGCGCCTTCTTCACAGTTACGGCTCCAGGTTGGAAGAAACCGTGTGGAGATCAACAGACGACGTAGAGGCGAGGCATGCACAGAGCCATTAGATAGAGGTGTCTCACGCTGTCCAAGTTGGGGTTCAAAAGACCCCATAACCGGTTGGTTGAAGATATTGAAGGATATGGCAGCGAACCGACAGCAGTGGAGTTCTCGTTGTCATTTCTTATCACGCCAGAATGTTTGAAACGGTATGTATGCACAGTTGGACTGTGTACTGTGTTAACTATAGAGGTTCACCTTTTACTCTCTCCCTAAAAAATACGTCCAATCCCTATCCACTAACCTTGTATGCATCGAGTTTAGCAGCGATCAGTGAAGTTTGCCTCACTGTATTTCGCTGTACGATGATGATGATGACGACGCTCCGTAATTCTGCTTCGTTCACTCTGCTACTGCTGATTTTAGGATCCTTCAGAGCCTTCGGTTTATTTGTTTTTGGTTTAAATGTTCCTGCTAGAACCTTAAAAGTAGACCTGCCTAGTGATACCATCTTCGCATGATCCTTTAAAGGCACTCTCTCAATTTTTCAACTTTTGATATGCTCACCTTAAGTCGTCTGGCCTCCATCCGGACATTTTTATATGCGCTGACGTGCGTTGTCGTACGTGACCCTAAGTACGGCGGGTTGTCCGGCGTGGCGCGTACTTGGTCATCGGCTTGATTGTACTCGACCTGGAGAAGATTTGATCCTTCCAGCACATGCTGGGAAACATTATCAATATTGGCCGCAGCTGCACTGCTTGCGGCCCTCGCCCTCGCCCGATAGAAATTATCAATTGGGACCGTTGTGGATAGGCCGCCAAACCAGAGTATATCTCTCACGTAGTGCGGGGTATGAAAACCCTAGCCAGGAGTCTGGGTCATATAGGTCCTGTTAGGCTCCCTGGATGGGGATGAGCGTAACCGATGGTCAGAGACACTGAGTGATATGGCTGAGTCTCGTAAACAGTGGCGTTCGTGCATCTCCTCAATTTCTTTGCAACCTTAGACCACTGAATGTTTCCATTCATGGTTGAACTCCACTTTCAACTTTCCTTTCTTCTCCTATTCTTCATCCAAATGGGCAGCCAAAACATAGCAACCAAAACCGGTGCACGAATATGCATGGTTAATGGTTGTACAAACTGAACTGAACTGAGTGTCTGTATCCCTCCTGTCTGATTTTGCTACTGTCCACGAGTGGTTTGAAGCAATGATGCAGCAGCAACCGTTTACAAGCCTTATGATAACGGAGGCGATATCTGTCAGACTGTATACTCTCAGCCATAGCCTGTACACCTGAGCTGGCTCCAGAAGAGCCCTGAATTATCCTTGTGTCGTTCGTTTTCTGTTACTTACGACTATTTATAAACAAAGCGGTACCGCAACAGACTAAACAATAGCAATTCAATACACAAAAGTAGTCTAGAATCATTTCTAATCCGCTTGTATACAAATAAGGTTCAATATGAAACTAAAACTTTGTAATCAGGAGCACCAAAAATGGAATAACACCAAATAGTCAATAGATTAGGCTGAAGTTGGGTGAATGTCTGTGTGCAAAATGTTCGGTTGACAACAGGCTATGGGATCACGATAATTGGATAGGGAAAAGACAGTTTCGGTTGACTTTACTGTGAGTAAGGATTTTGATACATGCGATAGATTTATCAGCCATATACTGTCAAGTGAAAAACACTGCCTGTATGCCCATCTCAATAAATCGGTGTCCCATCCGAGTACGTGTTCCGAACTTGGGATTCCTTGTGCACGCACTACCGCATATGAAAACAGCATGATCCCTTATTTTGCTCGTATCTTGGTCGACCAAGCAAATAATATTACTGACTCGAATAATCACCTGTCGCATTAGGATTTTATCGCATCCGTTTCTTTTTCATTAAATACGTGTATATTTATTCTTTTTCCAATGTTTAACGTTTTCCTCACTGCGGAAGCTATAGCAATTAGGATCATGAAGGCGGAGTTGTGCAAACAACGTAATCCGGTTCAGGCGCTGCTGTTACCATGACCATAAGAACAATTACCCACATGTCTATGTGACACCTATTCTCTCCCTATACCACTCCCCATTTATTGTCATTTTTGCAAACTTTCATATTTGCTTCATTCATATCACCTCTAGTTCACACATTTTTCATTCGACTTTTCCCTATCAAATACCAAATATCCATGATATATAAGGAAACCAAGCATGACAAAACTCGAAACCTAACGAAGCACCACGAGATTTTCGGGCAGTCATACGGGAACTTGGTACATACCCCATTCATATCACGCCCGGGCCGAATACTGAGGTTAACTTTAACTGCTAATTAATCTTACTCTATTGGTGATACTTGTTTGATGGAAAACCATTACAAAGTGGAACAACGAAGAAGATTTGAAGACAGTAACTTCAACGTAACAGAAAACACGGACCACATTCACACCTGCTCAAAATGCTTCAGTTTCAGTTTGCACATTCATTAACCATGCACTTTTGTGCGGTGGTTTCGGTTGCTGGCCTTTGGCTGTCCATTTGATTGAAGGGGTAGAAAAAAGATTGACAAGAAGAGTCAGAGAGAAAATGGAGGATCTCGGTAGACTAAGGTTGCAAGGATAATGAGTAGATGCACGACACTCAGCCATATCACTCTGCGTCTCTAACCCTTAAATTCAATGATCCCGAAGTCCCCATCGAGGGAGCCTAAAGCGACCAATATGACCGGACTTCTTGGTTAAGGCTTTCATATCAATGAATTTATCATCCTTGGTTTTTTCAACCCATTACCTGTCTCGGCAAACAGCGCCCGCCGTGGCAAATTGTGGTACAAAAAATATCACACTCCCTAGATAATCAACGCCCATNGCAAGCAATCTGAACTTTTACGACACTATCACACTATAATCAAAGACTTGATACAGTCACATAAATACGAGATTCTCATAAATCATCGATGCAGTCCACACACCTCAATCCACCCCAGTTCACATACACCTCAAAAAGGAACGAATGAATCTGCTGACATCTACAGACAATCCAAAATGTTACAACCACTTGAGTCCATTCACTCGTAAACAGATCATTACTTTATTCTTCAACTGAAANCGTTTCTGATAAACGCGTTCCCATAAAACCTAACCCGTAACTCATTCTGGGAAAAATATCACAAGGTTAACCACCACGATAGTCACTAATTACAAGTTCACAACAGATAATGGGTCCGAACGGAAAAGTGAATCGAGGTCGGCGGCAGAAAGTTTATTGCAAAGATGAAAGTATATATGTACATATGGAAAACGAAATCGAAAGATAATTCATCTCAGTAAAACGTTGGGGGAGCAAAATCTATGTTCCTTTTTTCTCTCTCAGACTGGATATAGCGCTGTGCAGACATCATAAATTTGCCCCGATCCCATTCGCGCGACTGATGCGTACGATCTATGCAGGTCGCTGTTTGAGAGGCAATGACGTCGGCCAAATTAGCCGGGCTATTCGAGACTTCACTTGTAGACGGAGACTCCGGTACCGGATCGTTCAGTGAAGCACGAAGCTCTGCTTCATCACGAAGACGACGCAACATCGAAGCCACATCAAGATCATCACTACTAAGCCGTATATCTGACTGAGCATCAGAGCTGACAGGCAGGGGAGTTGGCGGAGCGGTATTTTCACCCAGACATTGTGCAGCTGCGGTAGCCACGTCAGGAAGACCTTTTCTAGCGCGAAGTCGAGCAAGTCTTTGTCCCATTCGAGCATCACGTTTTGCACGTATCGCCCCAGCTCTTGCACGACCTTCCTCAGTCGCACGATGTAACTCCTTGAGCCGGGTCATCTCAGCCGCGCGCTCTTCAGCATTTTGAGAGAATGCATAAAATCCAACACCGTGGTCTCGTATTTCGCCTTCACGTAAATGGGCGTAAGTGAGAGGACCATCGGGACGGGGAGGCGGTTCCGTCTCGGAATTGGAATGGCGATCTTTACGCATACATACTCGTTTTATTCCACGCTGATCGGTGTACTCATCCCATTCCTCATCACTTTCGTTGGCTGAATAGTCTCGCGGGTTGTCATCTAAGTCGGACCCGCTGTCACTACAGGACTGGACGCGAGACGGTGAACTTCGAATCTGAATCTCCTCTTGAGCTTTCTGCTCGAAATCGACAAGTGGTGCGTCCTCCGATGCTTCCGTGTGTATTCGACTTTTTGAATTCGAATGTGTTCCGGATAATGCGGCTGCCTTCAAAGCCTCGTAAAGCTTAGCCTTAGCTTCCAGAGCTCGACGACTTCTCTCCCACTGTTCATCCGTTTGATCTAATTCACCAGGTACTTGTTTAAGATAACTAGCAACAGTGTTCTCCTTTTTGGGTAGTCTCCAAATCGATCGTTTCCTAGCATTTGGGCCGGTGGGAGTATTTTTAATCACAGTACATCCTTCTGGAAGTCTTTGTACTTTTTGTTTAAGTTCTACTTGTCTCCGGGAAATTTCAGCTTTCAGACCGGCTAAAGCAACTGAGCTCACTTCGATATGATGTTTTAGCTTGTGGGCCATGAGTTGCGATCTGGAATAAGATATAATATAAAGTTGAATGAAAACGGATAAGTTACAAGGAGAATGCGAAGGAAGAGAAAAATATAAGCATACCACTATGGCCCTTCTGAATAGCAAAAG